GGGAGACATTGTCTTTCAGGACACCACCCCTCCCTTCCTTTTGTGTTATCCAGTGTGTTCTGCTAAGACTGGGGGCTTCAGCAGGAGTACTTATATTCCCAGAGACCCAAGCATAAGCCCAGATACCTAAATTTAAGTGGCATTGAGCCTGGCAAGGAATGCAAGGCAAGTTAAGGAATATTTCTGCAATTCTAAAGCAAGTGATATATATCCATTGCAACAGAATTATCATAGAGCTATCTGTTATGTAATTAGATGGCTTTCAGTATTGTCAATGCCACTGAAAGAGCCACAGACCATTTCATGTGTTAAAGAAGAGGAAAATATAAATGAGCTTTTGAAAATAAAGATTTAAGCTGTTATATCTAATCACATTTTTTTTTCAAAGTTGGAAGCCAGAACTGAACTGAATAAAAAGAAAAAAAAAAGAAAAAGAGGTACTATTGTTTCTGTGGTCTAGTTGCACAGTAGGGAACTGGTTGCATTTTCTTAGCTTTGTATTACAGCCATCAATTTTTCCCATGCATCATGCCTCCAAATCTGCTGCAGGGTTAGTGTTCTATATCAGCAGTGATAATCAGGAGTTAAATGTTCTTTATTTTCAAACTTTCAGAACATGCTAATTTCTTTCCTCCTGTCTACTCTTCCCACTGACATGCATTCACTCATTCCTGTGAGCTGAGTACATAAATTTTGAACATGCCAATCCATATCTTGACTGACTTCTTTGTGCCACCTCACCAGTTCTAACAGTCAAGGGGAAGAAATTGAAAAAATACTGTACAGAATTCATTACTAAGGTAATTTTAGATCTGGATAGTAAATTATACCTTAGTACTGAATGACCACAATCTATTACAGGGTTATTAATTGCTATCAGAATGTAAAAATAATTATAGATCAAATTTATTGCAGTTATTTGAGTGCTGATAAAAACTCCATTTTCCCACAGATTTGGTATGGTGTCTTGATGATAATATTGCCTTTGTATTTTTATGATTTGTATAGTGTAATTTACTTCACAGGAGGTATATTCATGTTATTTTAAAATTTTTCCTCAGTTTATTAGTGCTTGACTGTATAATTCTATATAGAATCCAGTTTTCACATCCTTGCTAAAAAGGGCAAAAATAATTTTCTAAAGGAGCTATAAACTTCATCTTCCAAGGAAATATTTATCTTAGAACTTTAGCGTATTTTTTAAAAAACCTAAAGAAATACATACATGCATATCTGTCTCTTTTCCCTCCTCCTCCTACTTTCCTCATCTTTCCCTTTATTTTATTTCTCCCACATGTCAAACTGCTTTTTTTCCCCTTCCCTTCAGCATGGTTTGAAAGACTTGAGGCAAAAGTACAGAGCTATAGACAGGAGAAACCAATGCGGAGGAAATATTGGCTACATAAAAACAGCTTTTCCACTTCTTCTGATTTATTATTTTTTTGTAAGCCTTACACTGCTTAGCAAGTTTGAGCCATTATTGCAAGTCTTTCCTCTTTTCCACTTTGTAAGTCTACAAGATGTCTTAGTTCAAACACCAAGACAACTGAATTGATGAACAATTGTTCTATAGTCAAGTATATGCATCTCTAACTAAGCTACAGCTACTGCAGACATAAAGGTTGAATTTAGTAATGTAGCTACCTTCTTCATTACAGAAAGATAAGTCAGCCTATCACACTGAAAAGAATTAAATATGATTGCAACAAGGAATGGCCTTTACAAGACCAGTAGACTAACATTTAAAAAGCTAACTAAAGAGAAACCCTTTCAAAGAGAAAATTAATTTCTACTGTATTTCTTGCAATCTAATACTCTCTTTATATAAAGCCAGGAAAAAAAAGTCTAAATAAACAATATACCCTTCCAGGAAAATGAAAAATTATAGCTCAGGTAGTATAATATATACCATAGCAAACTGGAGTGTGTTTGGTGCAATTTTAGGAAAAAAAAAAAAAAGTAACAGATGACTGCTTTAGTTGTATTCTATTTATTTCTTTCTACCGAAAGCACAAAAATTATGGTTGCATCATGGGTAAGAATGACTATCAGGAATTTTCATTGCTGAACACATGAAAGGAAAGCTCATGATAGCACTGAAGCTACATTTATTGATAAATATTTTAAGACAGAATTATTTTCCCAGAAGATTTATTTCTGTTTTTCATTTGTTTTTTTTTTGGTTTTTTTTTTTTCCCTAATCAAAATGCTTTAAAAACTGGAAAAGTTCAGCTGACTGTGTCCTTCCTGGTGTGAAACTAAGCACATTTAATATTTTCTTTGTTTCAGAAGGACAAGGAGTGGTAGTACAGGGTAGAAAGCACTTTGTGTGAAAGTCAGAGACGTATGTGGAGCGAAGGAAGCCAATCCATGAACACATTTTTTTGCCTATTATCTATATATATCTATATAATATATCTATATATTTATATATATAAATCATTCCTGGATTTAACTACCCTCAGGCTTTATGGAAAAGATTCAACTGAAGACTGTCCGCAAGAAGTCCAGAGAGTGACCTGACAATTAAACAATCTGGTTTATCAGGCAACACTTTGTTGCACGAAAATCTTTTATTTATTACTGTCAAAGGGTTATTGCTAAGTAGACAAGCAGCAGTTAGCTACCAAAAATACAGTGCCTATACTGTATAATAGATGTTTCCTGCTCTGCGTGCACTTGTTACTGTCTGTAGTAGTAGTGTATATATACCTAGATTCTGCAGGAACATGTGTATAATATGACAGCTGAAAAACAGTATTTTGCAATATCATACCAAAAACACTGTAAAACCAACCAGTCAAGGAGAAATAGCTCGATACAGTGATTTTGTCCATTTTGTGTAAAAAGTTCTTGAAAGTGTTCCTGTAAGCTCCAGATCATTTGTGAAGCAATGAAAAAACAGTTGAGAGTCTCCTCCTGACTTGTTCTTCTAATAAAAAAAAAAAATTATTTAAGGAAGCATGATCACCACTGCAAGCACTAATTTTTCCACAAGCAGACCCTTGGAGATCTTGCTCTGGATTACAACTCCTAGAATTTTGAGTTACTCCTAACACTGCAATATTTTGCAGTCACACCATCTATGTAATTCCCTGAGAACGTATGGAAATCAGTGCAGTTTTGATTTTTGTCTCATGCAAAATTAGATGTATTCTGATTTAAGCTGGGATAGAGTAAAGTAAGATGCTGAGTTTTAGACTGAGGATGAGAATAGTGTTGATAAAACACTGGTGTTTTAGTTAAGTGGTGCTTACATTAAGGCAAGAACTTTTCTACCCTGTACACCACTCTACCAGAGAAAAGGCCTGGGGACCACAAGAAGCTGAAAGGAGACAGAGCCAGAACAGCTGATCCTCACTGACCAAAGGAATATTCTGTACTACATCGTGCTGTGCTTAGTACATAACCTAGAGAGAAAGTTGACTAGGGGTTCCTCCTCAAGAACTGGCTGAGCACCATTTGGTGGGTGGTGAGCAATTGCACTGTGCATTGTTTTGGATATTCTATTTTAATCTATCAATATTTATGTTATTTTTTTCCCTTCAGATTTGGTCCTTTTCAAAATGTGTTTATCTCTTCCCTCAGATTTTTCCTTTTTTACCCCACAGTTCTGTCCCCCATCCCACTGGGGAGGAGAGTAAATGACTGTGTGTTGTTTAGCTATCTGCCAGGTTAAACTTTGATAAGATGTCAAGTAGGATGAAAGAAGTAGGTTTTTATTTTAATGCTAAGTTAAACACTAGAATCTGCCACAGCTGAGAACAGAAAATGCAACTGTACAGATGATCCTGGGAGATTAATCTGATAGTAACTTATTATATTTGGTGCTGATTGTTTTTTACCTAAGTGATAGACCATAAATAACTAAAATGATAGTTAGTTTTCATTAGAAAATACAATATTAAACATCATAAAATATTTTTAGAGTAATTATACTTCATTCTATATAGGCATGTAGTTTGAAACTACAAAAATCTTTCAACCAAAAGAATGCTTATGGATAAAACTATATACATTTAAAGGTCTTAACAGAAGTATCTGTAACACTCTAACAGCAGTTACAATAAGCTGTCTTTAAAAATCCTTTAAAATACTTTGGAAGGGAGAATGATGTACTTATGCTTATTTTTCATCTGGAAATAATAATAGCAGGGTTGGCATTTTTTTAGGATATGTATATATATATCTATATATATATGTATATAAACAAGCCCAGTAACTGAATACTCCCTGCTGCAAGTAAGGGAGTAACATTAAAAATTCTTTTGGGCTGACAAGATACATTCTGTGTTTTCTAGAAAAAATTCTTAAGAATCAGGTCACAGGCGAGAGGTAAAAGTAAGTTATGACAGTGGCAATATTTTCAAATGTGTTTCTACTGTGAAACAAGCGCTGAAAAAATATAGCAGATCTGCTTTTGCTGGTATTTTAAGTATGGTTAACACAATTTGAAGATGGCTTTTTATGAAGCAGATCCTGAATGTTTAAACAAGATCAAAGTATGTGTAGAAGGACTGCAATATATATAAGGCATTCTGATGTTTGATCTTAACCTATTTTCTATGCATCAAAGATAGGCATTACTTAAGCACAGATTTACCAATATATGACTTACATACATTTGTACTCCTTTATATACCTAATCTATTTCTCTCTAGTCCCTAGAGAAAAATGGTTCAGTGGGAGATTCAAGAGAGCACATTGTGATGTTTAGGATTGCAAATCCAAAACATAGGTACTCAAAACTCAATATGCAGTGCTGATCCTGGTGATTAGACATAACTATGCACCAAATAGTTATGGAACAGATGATCTATGGAACTCAAATTGGTATTCAAAACAATCAGCTTGCTGAGTGCTGACATGTTAAACACCACTGTATGAAACATGACTCTGAAGTCTGGAAGCTGAAACACCTTTCTGGGGATTCATAGCTCTGCTTTCATTCTGAGAGTGAGACATTACTGAATGCCAACTCCCTCCTCTCTTCTGTATTGTTCCAGGAGCCTTCCCATGGAAGCTGTAAGTCAGAAATTTGGGTTTGACAACAAGTTGTCTCTGAATTGCTTTTCTCAAGGTAATTCTGCAAATTCCACATGAATGATGTTTAATGTCTTGTTCAATAACTGACCTAATCTTTTAGGAACCTAATTTCAATTGCCTTTCACACTTAAATATCTTCATTTTGCAAGGCATGACTTCTGCAATTTAAAAAGGCTATACGTTTCTGGCTGTGGTCCCACATGTCAAAAGCTCTTACAGGTTTTTTGCACACCAGACAGTATTTTTTCATACTCTCTCATTGTCTAAGGTGGTTTAAAACACATAGCAAATGGTTTGAGGACTAGGGAAGGCATTGTTCTTACAGCTTTCATTTTTTAAAACCCAATGTCTGATATTGTTTCTGCTGTTTTAGATGTTGTGCAGTGCTCTTTCTTTTTATGTGAGCATATGTGCAACAGCTACTGTATTAATGTGATCTAGGGACTTCCATTGCTCCTGAATTATGCTGTTGTCATAATTCTGTACAGTTTCAATGGAAGGACTAGGTCTACAGCTAAGGGCTAGAAAAGACTCATATTCTCTGCCAATGGGTATAAAGGAGAGGTGCATAATACACGCTTACCACTGTGTTAAGCACACACTGTACGTGGCTGATTCTCCAAATTGCAGTTTTTCTCAGAAGCACTCGAGAATTAAATTCTTTACAATTTTCTTAAATGAACTAACAGCTGACATAATCCCTCCCAGCCTGTCTCAATAATAGAACAATAGCAATATGTTGTGTTCTTCCCTTCCCATCTGTCTCCTGATGTCATTTGTGAACTTCCCCTGTTCTTAATATGTTCAAGGAAAGATTTTTGAAGAAAAAAACCACAAAAACTTTGCAAATTAAACCTATCTTGCTACATTAATAACATTTTATTCTTATTTTACTATGTTAGTAAAAACAGTGTAGTCTAACTTGTCATTGTGCCTTTGGGTGGAAACAGTAACAATGGAGCAATAGAAAACACTCAAATTTGATTACACTTACAAAAAACCCCATTAGTTTATACATACACAGCTTGGATAAATGAGCTTGAGAATTCTTTGGGTCCCCCATTAAAGGCTGAACCATGAATTAACAAAGTCTGATGGAAATTTCCATTGACCTAACAGCATTAGAGCCAGAAATCACTTAATTTCACTTTGCTCGTCTGTCTGTCTTGCTCCTTCTCCCCCTTTAATTGAAAGGAGGTTGTTCAGTCTTGGTTCAAGGCAAAACCTGAAATTCATTCTGTATTAATCATCATGGGATGATGCCTACAAGTTCCCTTTTCTGGTCATACAGCCAGTGGCACATTTCTTGACTTCCACTCAGAACCCATACAAGAGACATAAAAAAATCTAACAATACCTTATTGTAATATAAGTAAGTCACACCCCAGAGCACAGTTTTAATTTAAATCATGCTTTATCTACAATCTCATGCTAGACATAAACATTGCTTCCCAATAGAAAGAAATAAAACTGTATTACAAGAACAACATATTTTTTCAAATTACTATCAGGTTGCTTTTTATTTCTTGAGCCTATGTAAAGAACACCCACCAAAAAGCCATAAAATTTAATTTGCAGCAATGTTATTTTTTTAACATTTTTTTCATTAAATAATGAAGAAACATATTTTCTGCCATACAAAAGACAGAATGTTAAAGTTATTTTTCTTGTTCATTTTATGATTTCATTATGATCCCTAAGTTAAAAAAAACATCACCTCTAGAAATTTCAAGGTTTCTATTTGCTAGGTAACTTGCTTACTAGAAGCAGACTTATTATTAAATAACTGAGTTTCAAAATGCTCTTTCTCTTCTAAACTTTCAAAGCTTTTAAATAACAGAAGTCATAAGAATTTACTCATTCAATTGTTATTATCACAAATTTATACTTCTTTTTTCCTAGAAGAATTTCTTATGCAAACAAATTTGAGTAACATGATTCAAATATTCCAGAATATATGAAGAAACTCAAATACATATACCATCTTCTGGAAGGGGATCCTAAGTCTTGTGTTTCTGAATATTACTAGAATATGTACCATTTTTCTTAGAGAGGAGATTATTTTTTATATAATAAATTATGGTCCACATTAATTAGAGTATTACTATGGCAAAATAGCTCTCTATATTCAGAGAAGATAAGCTTGCTGTTGCATCTAGCTGCCATTATATTTTGCTTTTACATAGATATGATTATTAAAATTCTCAGCAAATCAAATGAAATAATCTCATTATCTTTATTAATGATCAGTAACCAGGTTCCCTGTTGTTTCTCTTCTTTTGATAAATCTGAAAATACATGTCAATCCGTAGCAAAGCAGAAATTCCCAAGCACTAGCTTCCTGAAAGATAAGATGTCAAGGGCATTTTTAAAAGTAATTTTGTATCTTTACTGACTTAATATGCAGAAACACATTTCTTCATGTTACCCATCACCCTATCTCTTTAATACTTACATTTTAGACATTTCAGATCAGCTTTAAATTCTTATACTTATCTAGAGGCCAGAGATTTCAGGCCTATGAATTTCATCACAGATAAGCATAATATATCAGATGAGCCACTTTTTCAAAACCAATTATTAAATCTAATTTATACAGAGTATAAAATAGTAGCAAAGGTCATATCATGCAAAAGATTTTTTTGGGGTGAAAAGAGTCAGAGACTGAATTGCTGATATTGTTTCAATATCAGAAATTTTCTTTCAAATAACTATTTTTTAAATCAGTGCTTTTTTTTTTTTAAATAATTTTGTCATCTATGTACCTATGTACCTATGCACCAGGTCAGAGATTTTAATTTATGAGGGTTTCAAAACCTGTTATAATGAACAGAAATGCCTATATTTATCCTCAGGACCTAGATTGGTTACTTTTGTTTTGGGCACAGTATTTCAAGAATTTCTGCAAAAGCACAGAAATAAAATAAACTTCTTTAAGACTTTAATACAACACAGAAAATGTTATTTAAACCTTGATAATCCATAGCCAGAATAACTGACATCCAGAATAATTAAGTGTATGTGAGTGCTAGGGTTTTTTTCACTCAGCTAAAGACTGAAGTATTTCAGCATATATCCCTTCCTCCATCTCTGTCTAGCTCTTAATCTAAACTTCCACTGACTTAATTTTCCTAAACTTTTCCCTAGGTCTCAGAAACATTTCTTTTTCTAGGTGTCTCTATGTTTTTCTGAGTACATATGTCACACAGTGTAACCATGTTCTTTTATGAATAGTTTTCTATTTTAGCTTTACATATTTATATTTTCTTCTGTTGGTATTTTCATGTATTTGCTGTCACTGCAGAGATGTTTTCTTGTTATTTCTTATTTCTCTTCAATGCAGTGCACATTGTGAGGGCTTTTTTTCCCTCTGTATTTTCTTCTTTACTGACTTGGCTTCTGACACTGTTACGAGCTGTAAAATGCTGCAGTTGTCACTTCCTTTTCCACAGCTGAGCAGACAAAATATAGGTTTTTGCAGCTCATGCACTTGACATGGAAAGTAACAGGGACAGGTGGGTTTTTATCAGATTGCAAGTGTTTGTTTCAGCGAGTGTTATCCTTCACATTCAGTACTTTCCTACTCTATCTGCAGAAGCTGCCACCATGTTTCATACTTCTAGTAAACAAAGATATTAAAAGGATGTGACATCCACTTACAGCATGAGGAAATTGACGGTAAATTTTATAACATTCAGAGAAAACTTCTGGCAGAATTTGGGAAAAGTGAATATTACTTCCGAATGTAAGACGGCTGCAAAATTAGAGTAAGCAGACCTAAACAAATCAAGGAGGCTGAATCAACTCATTTAGAAACACCTTAAACACATGTATCTACTCTTAATGTGAGAAAAACACTACAGAACTCTAAAGTATTAATTAGGAAAAAAAATCAAGTTTTATCTCTTTTTCTATATTATTTTTATTGGTTGAAGATTTTCAAGAAACCAGGTGGATATGCCAGGACATCTCACAGAAAATTAGACCCTCATATTTAGACGAATGAATTATTGCATAATTTGGAGGCTCAATGCTGTTATTATTCTGAAAAGCCAACTCAGTTCATTTCGAAGGAGCCCCATACTTAGCCTAATTCAGCTGTCTCTAAATAAAGGCCTAGTTTAATTCAAAGCAGCTGTGTGACCTTGGATCAATTTTACTGAGAAAATTGTTGCTAAGGTGTGAAAAAGTCTGTGCTTTAAAACCACAAAAAATGAGACAAGTAAAAACGCAGACAAAAGAGTACCTGGTAAAATGGTAAGAATTATTAGCTCAAAAAAAATTCAAGGGTAAAAATATTGACATCAAGATCCTTTTCAGTCCTGCCTCCCCAGCATAGGAGATCAATTAAAAGACACCAATTCAGCAACATTGAGGGTCATCCTACTGCAAAATGCAGCAAAAGCTCACTTTTCCCTATGCAACTGCATGATGAAGATACTATTGATCCCTGTAGTAGTCTGTTAATCTTAGCAATATGCTGTGTATAGAAGATAATAAATGATTGCTTTTTACTCTCAAATACTGTATAATCTGTTTCTGTAGTATCTTGGCACATGCTAAAAGTTGCCAAAAAAGAGACTGAATGTGAAAGAGAAAGAATATTAAAGTAAGAAACTGAGAAAAGTCGGGAAGTGAATTTCCACATTCCCTTAAAATATCTGGAAAAAAAGTAAATAAAAATCTGATATGGTTCTGCTTCTTCTGCAGAACTAAAAAAGATAGATATTATTTTGCAACTCTTTGGATTATACCATCCATAGTAACCTTTGCCTCCACCTGCCATGTTCTAAGTAGCAAGAACAACCAATGAATGCCTACAGGGTGAAATATATGGGAGGGAAATTAACACTTTCCAGAGTTTAGCCCTGGAGGTGATAGCACATTTCGCTGTGAGAGCTGGGCTGTGTCTATGTATGTAGCTAAGCTTTCCAGTCCAAACAGCACCACTATCAATAGCTCTGTAATCGGGAATTCCTCAATTCAGCAAGAACCCAGAGTCTAGTTATAATATAAAATTCACACAGCATACAA